ATTAGACAAGCATATAGGAGGGCAATTTGGGATTTTTATTAGACAAATATTTTTGTAAACTATTATGCATGTATAACAATATACCATTAAAGTATAAGTTGTCTTAATAATACTATTTTTTGCCTATTATGCATGTAGTGGTACTTTTTGTCATCCTATAGGTTGAATATTTTCCAACAAAATACCTATCATATGTAACCTATTTTGTATGTAGTGGTACTTTTTTCCATCCTATTTATTTGCTGACAAATAACAGCTGTGCGCTAAGGGTTAATCGAGGGGGCATGAAATAAGAAAACACATAAGCTTCAAGGGTTGATACTATGAAATTTTATACTCGTACAATGTATCAATTTCTTTGTGCCTATTATTTATAGAATTCAATTCAATCTCCTAAAAAATTGTGCCGATTAAAGTGGTGCGCACTTTAAAAAATAGAGGGATTATTAAATGATTTATTAAAATTGTAATTAAATAAAGATATCTTAATGAATGTTATTTTTTTATAGTAATAATTTATATCAAAGTTATCAAAATCGAGATTCCACTTTGAATTGTAAGGGATTTTGATGCATATGTGTTACAGATGATAGTAGTCATTATATTCAAAAAGAATTCTAGAAGTTTTTATTGACTAAGTCTTGTGTACAACGGGTGTACATTAATTTTATTGTAAAACGGTCAGTTTGAGCGTAATTTTAACTATTTTTATGGTAACTTTAATCACGTAAAGGGTAACTTTTAATTTGTCGTTGGTTTAAATTTTATTTTAATGTGTAATTTCTTATAGATACGTGATTACATACTATAAAGACTAATGTAATTAATCTGATACTTGTAGAATTTGTTATATACACCCGGATGCACTGTACTCTCAACTAACCTAAGATTAGTTTTTGCTCTTCATTTGATGATTAAATGAAAAACAATCATCAAAATGAGACAAAATAGTCATGGGTGTATGGTACACCCGGGTGTATATATCAATCTCTCTTATAAGTTTTTTGTAAGATAAAATTTATTAATAGAAAAATAATAACTTTTGCGGTATAAAGGGTAAGTACTTTTAACATAACTTTAACCCGTTTTACGATAAATTAACGTAGACCCGTTGTACACAAGACTTAGTCGTTTTTATTTCTCACATAATAAGTTTTTTTTTCTTGTTTTAAGCTTAGAATATTTTAATTATGCAATTTTATTTTGACAATAGTTATTTTTACAATATAAGAGAATTCAAGTGAGATGATTTTTAGTGATTATGACTATTCACCAAAATTTTATTTGGTATGTAAACATATATGAATTTTCAATATCGCATAGTATCATATTAGGTATTTTATAGGAAAAATTCACATCATTAATCCCAATTATTACTTACCTTCTCATTTTAATCCTAACTATAAAATAATTGAAAATAATCCCAAATATAGGACTAGCCTTCTCAAAATAGTCTTAGCTTTATATTTACATGTTTAACAAGTAATTAGAGTGGCGTGTCTACTTCAAATTGGTTAATTTTCTTTTTAATTTTGTGATCATCCTCCATCTTCCCAAATATTTCTCACTAACTCAGTAGCAACCATGTTTTTTTTTGGGAAACTTTGGCAGCCATCACTATTCACCACATTCACCTGCCACTAATTATGGCTGCCAAAGTCCACATACTCCACAAAACAACCACCTCCCTTCACATCCTCCGATCCTTCATGCCTTCTATCATTTAATCACAACAAATTACAAGGGGGCAGCTGTTGCCCGAATCAGTTGCACCATACTAGAAAAAGCTAGGATTATATGGCTCTGATTTCAATTATTACTGTTAAATACTATAAAAAGCTAGGATTATATGATACATGACTTTTGTTATTGTGCTTACAATTGCCTTTTGTAATTTTACGACATAGACAATTAGAGAATGTGGTGACATTCACGATGGTCTTTTCCATATAAATCACAAAAGTATAGAATTTATGTATAAATTCTAACTTAACTTTTGTTAGCAGAGGGGACACAAATGTCTATGGCCAGGCTGTATCGAATGTCCTTGCAGAGAGCAATTTTTTTATTTTATTTTATTTTTTTTTTTTTGGGAAGAGAGCAATTTGGAGAGCACCATTAAGCAAATTCTTGATATGGGTAGAGGAAGTTGGGAGATATTGTTGTTTGTGTTTTACGCGTTGCTTATAACAATCCAGAGAGGTGTTGGAATTTTATGTGCGGAAGTAGTAGTGGATTTTTGGTTTAGAGATGGATTTATGCTTGATAATGTGATAATATGATGATTTTATTTGATGTGTTTGATTATTATTCTCAACATGTTACATGTCATGGTATTTATAGATGTCTTACAACTCTCTAGAGATTTCTAGCTTAGGTTAGTCTAGATTTTTCTAAGATATTTTCTCCTAGATTTTTCTTAGGTAGTTTCTACACACTTTAGATTTTTTTACATAGATATTTTTACATAATACTTCCTAGATTTTTCTAGACTACCCTTTAGATATTTATTTTACAAAATATTCTATGTTTTTCTAGATTAATATTTTTTAACACTCCACCTCAAACTTGAAAAACTTGAACACCGAGTTCTCTTACAAAATGGAGGAATTTATCCGTTGGAAGTGCCTTGATAAAGATATCTCGAGTTGCTCTCCTGTCTTGCAAAATTGTAGCTCGATCTCTACCAACTCTCTGATGAAGTGGTGTCGTATCTCGATATGCTTTGTACGACTATAGAAGACTGGATTCTTTGTCATTGCTATGGCTGACATACTGTCATAGTAGACGGTGGTTGGATCTTCTGTGTCGTGTTGTAGATCTTTTAGAATTCTCCTTAGCCACACTGCTTCACATGCCGCGCTTGTAGCTTATATGTATTCTGCTTCTGATGAAGATAGTGCTACTGTTGCTTGTTTCTTTGATGACCATGAAACAGACTTGGATCCTAACTGGAACACGTACCCACTCGTGCTTCTTCGATCATCGATGCTTCTAGCCTAGTCACTGTTACACATGCAAGTTTGTAGTCGATTTCTGACTTGTACATGATTCCATGGCTTTTCGTTCCTTTGATATACCGGAGAATCCTTTTTGTTGCTGCTAAGTGAGCTTTGCTTGGCTCACTCATAAACCTTGAAATGACGCTGACTGCATGAACAATGTCGGGTCTCGTGTTTGTTAGATAAATGAGAGATCCGACCAAACTTCGGTAGAGTGATGCATCCACTTTTTCTTTGCCATCATTCTTGGAGAGCTTCTCATCTGTAGCCATTGGTGTAGCCATTGGCTTACAATCTCTCATGTTGAATTTCTTAAGCATAACTTCTGCATATTTCTCTTCTGAGAGAAATCCTTCTGGTCTTTGCTTCACTTGCATGCCTAGGAAGTACTTCATTTCTCCGAGGTCTGTCATTTCAAATTCTAACATCATAGCCTTCTTGAATTCTTCTATTAACCTTGGATTAGTGCCTATGTAGATGAGATCATCTACATATAGACATAAGATGAGAAAATCTCTTGGCCCATGGGTCTTAATGTAGAGTGATGGCTCACTTGGGCTTTTTGTAAATCCGTTTTGATAAAGATAGCCATCTATTTTGCTATTCCATGCTCGGGGAGCTTGCTTGAGCCCATACAGAGCTTTTCGAAGGCGATATACTTTATCTTCTTTGCCTTTGAAGAGGTATCCTTTAGGTTGCTCAACATACACTTCTTCTTTTAGCTCCCCGTTGAGAAATGCTGACTTGACATCTAATTGATAAACTTGTAACTTGAATTGTGCAGCAAGAGCGAGAACTAACCTGATTGTCTCCATGCGGACTACAGGGGCGTATGTCTCGTTGTAGTCGATTCCTGGTTGTTGTGAGTATCCTTTTGCTACGAGACGTGCCTTGTGTTTTTGGATGGAGCCATCTTCATGGTACTTGATCATTTAGACCCATTTGAGGTCGATTACATCCTTGTCTTGAGGCTTGTCTACAAGCTCCCAAGTCTTGTTCTTCTTGATCATTCTGATTTCTTCGTCCATGGCTTCGATCCTTGTCTTCTTGTTCTTCTCGGCAGCTTCTTGAAAGTTTTGTTGTTCACTTGTGAAGAGCGCCATGATTGCATGATTGCACTCGTAGTTTTCTAAATAGCTTGGGCGGCGCCGGTCTCGATATGATCTTCGAACTTCTTGTGTTGGACTTGATTCTTGAGTTGGTCTTGAGCTTGATGGTGAACTTAGACTCCTTGATGAAGGTCTTGGACTACTTGGTGATGATGTACCTGATGTTGATTGTGATGTTGATTGTGTTGGTGATTGACTTGGGCCTTCACCTTGATCTGGGCTTGTTGGTGGAATGCTTGCTAGAGGTATGAAGTGTTCTCGTTCCAGTGGCATTGTGCTCCTTTGTCGAAGATGACATCTCTCGAAATGATCAACTTCTTGGACCCGGGCTGATATAGACGATAACCTTTAGACTCGTTACTGTATCCAATGAAGATACATATTTCTCCTTTTCCATCTAACTTATCCCGATTCTCCTTCGGGATGTGGGCATATGCAATGCACCCGAAAACTTTGAGGTGCTCAACTCTTGGCTTTCGTTTGATGTGTAGACTGCTTCGGCCCAAAAATATTTAGGTAGATTTTTTCCTTGCATCATACTTCGAGCCATTTCAGCAATTGTCCTGTTTCTCCTTTCCGCAACACCATTTTGTTGTGGTGTGTGTCGGACTGTGAGCTCCTTTTTAATTCCTTGTACTTTACAAAATTTGTTGAATTCATTACTTGTATTAAAAAATATTAATCAAGAAAAACCTAGAATATTTTGTAAAATAAATATCTAAAGGGTAGTTTATAAAAATCTAGGAAGTATTATGTAAAAATATCTAAAGTGTGTAGAAGCTACCTAAGAAAAATCTAGGAGAAAATATATTAGAAAAATCTAGACTAACCTAAGCTAGAAATCTCTAAAGAGTTGTAAGACATCTATAAATACCATGACATGTAACATGTTGAGAATAATAATCAAACACATCAAAGAAAATCATCATATTATCACTTTATCACTCTCTTCTTTTGTCTCCCAATATTATCAAGCATAAATCCATCTCTAAACCAAAAACCCACTACTACTTCGGCACATAAAATTCCAACAAGAGGGCTTATAGCAACACTTCCCATTCTATTTTGCTCATACGCAAATTGATTTTGAGATAAATGTTATATTTACTCTATTGTTTTGGAATGGGTTTGGTTCAAGCATATGGTTAAACAGTTTTTAGGCTATGTTATCCTTGTTATGTATTTGTTTAATAATAATAATAATTGTACTCAGTTTTGTTGTTAGGAAATTCCCAGGTGATTCTCTTTGAGTTTATTAGTATGAAGTATGGTGATCTTTCGAAAGTAGCTAATTGGGTACTCTGTGTGATTATAAGATTGTTGATCCTATTAAAAACTTCGTGAATCATCCAGTATTTTGTTCTCCTTATTGTTGAATATGGAAGGGAATAATTGCTTTAAATGAAAGCTGCTTATATTTCTCTTTCTATAACTTACTAAGGGTTAATTTAGTTAATTATTCTGAAGAGTTTTTACCATTTTCATTTCTGTGCGATAGCCTGGTCTCTGTAGGTTATGTTCTTGAAATTTTTAATAGTGTGAGAGGGAGCATCATACTAAGGTTTGGATCTTTCATCTGGATTTGTGGTCTTGTAAGTAGGTATTCTGAAGGCTTATATTAAGAACTTGAGCAAGTGTTCCATGCGTAGGAATAGGGAAAAGATTACTCATGAGTCATGACATTAGATTTTAATTGTTGGCAGCTATTGCTATATGAAGAGAGAGCTGTTTGACAGTACCGATGAAGTCGATTTGCTTTAATTTCTTCGGTGGAAATGTGTAATGCTCCTCAATTTGTAAGTTTTGTTCATATTTCAATAGAGAAAATTATATTTTGATGGATGGTTCACCTGTCAAATAGGAATGGGATTCCTTAGTTCTTAACTATGTTTCTTAATTTTTTTTCACCATTATTTTCCAAAACTCTCCCTTTCTCTTCCTCGATCTCTATGTCTCTCTTCTATTTGCTCTTCCTTTTTATGTTTCATAACTTGTATTTAAGAATGAAATAACACGGTTTTGGAAAATCTATGTCATCCTACCTAGGAATGGGATTACTTTTTTCTTAATGTGGCTTGTAAGAGTTATATCTTTGCATATCTTATATGTTGACATGTTGTACATAGTAATTATTATTAGTTTGCTGTCCTTGCTCCAATAAGTTTAGCTTTTTACATGAAAATTTCATTATTTAATTTTACTGTAACACTTTGTTTTTATGGGTGGAATGTCTAGCATTTCATTAAATTACTTTTGAGGATAAGCTTCATTTATACAGTATTACTTTTAAAGTGAATACGAACACGCTCTTCTTATCTCTAACCGAAGAGACATTGGTTGGTTTATTGGATGTATTTTAGCTCAGGATTATTTTGGCTTAAACATGAGTTGTTGTGGGTTGTTAGCATATGATTGCCAATGTGACTAAAATAGATTACAGCCTGCTCAAAATTGAGTGAAGCAATTCTTCCTCTTAATTTGCTGATGCCTTAAATCAATTGCGAATAGCATGCACATTATTCATGAAAGTTATTTGGTTGATTTGATGAGGATTTATATAAAAAAAATAAGGTCTTGCGTTGGAATTTAAGGAGGACCTCTCTATACAAATATGCACGACAAATATCTTGAGGGAAGGGATGGTTCATGGGTCAACCGGGGAAAGGGTTTATGACCTTTTCACTGGCCTTGTTTTGCTTTCTAGGAAAATAGAAAATTACCTTTGCAGATTTTTATTTTTTTATTTTTTGTTTCAAGAAATATAAACCTCTGTCTAAAATAGTTTACCTTCAATGGTTTTATTTTAATATGACATGAGCATGTGTATTATACATTATTTTCATAAAATTACTAGAGATATTTGCTTGTGATTCACTATGTTGATATTTGCTTTATGAGGGTTGTTCTTGTGATTCACTATGTTGATATTTGCTTTATTTTTTTATTTTTTATTTTTATTTTTATTTTATTTTATTTTTATTAATTTTTTTGTGATTATGATTAATTAATTGATAGGACCTGAGATAGGATGATTGCACATAAATATTGCATACATTTTCTTTGTTACTGTTTTCTTTATTACTATGGAATGTTATGAAAATTGTTTGTTTTGGGATAGTTGGATATCAAAAATTACATTATATTGATTCATGTGAATTGGAAGGCTATTAGCTTAATTGGTAGAGCAATGTGCTATCCTGTACAGTATGTGGGTTCGACTCCCACATAGCTTGATATATTTATGTCGATTGATGAATTTTGCTCATGGCTAATATTTCTTTTGTTTCAAAAAAAAATTGCTACATTTTGACTAGCACGTTTGTCGATACACAACTTTAATTGTAATTTTTATAATTATATATTAGTAAAAAATTTAAAATGTTGATAGTATGAAAATATACAATAAAATTTCAACAATATTTTACTTGATAACATAAGCTTTCAATAAATTAGTAAAAATATGTAACATTACAAGGAGGAGCAAGGAGAAGGAGAAAGAAATTGAGTCCGAGAAAAAGGAAGAGAGAGTTTGGGGAAATAAATGGAGGGGGATACTTTTTAGACTGTAATTGATTAAGGAGATGATAATACTTTTTTAAAACTATCTATCTTTAATGCTCAAAATCATAAAAGACGAGTTAGTGAAAGAAAAAACTAAAGGGAAAGAGAAACAGAGTGAGCAAGAAGGGGGAAGGACAACTCAATCATTAGATTGGGACAAGCTTGCTTCTTTCATTAACTGTAATTACTTAATCAACGTGGTTATGTGACAATTATGAGAATGTAAGGCCGATTAGGATCTCCTTAAGAATAAAAATTTCAACCTTATAGTAGTGTCATGATAGATATAAGTGAGTGATTTTTTTGAAGTGTTCATATAATCATGAGAGAGAGAGAGAGAGAGACTGATTTGCTGAAAGCTCTTGCTATTTTTGCTGCTTTTTTGACAGGTGCTGTAGCCATTAATCATTCCTGGGTTGCTGCTAATCAGGTTAATTTAGTTTTAATGTTTGATTGCGATATATTATTGCAGGCTTTGCTTAAGCTAGACCTGAAGTAGACATGCTGATAGATGAGTATTGGTAAACTCTTCTGATGTAGGATCTTGCTATTTGGAATAGGATATGCCGGGATGGGCATATATAGGTTGAACTTGCACATGGTGGCGAGGATCAGGATCATCATGTGCTGTGCTGGAGGGGCGCTATGGTATATTTTTCATGGTTGATGGTTACAATACCTATGACAATTATGAGAATGTAAGGCCTATTAGCTTTACTCTCTCTCCTCCCCTTTCATGTGTTGTCTCTCCTCTTCCCTTTTCTTTGTGTCTTCTTCATTCCATTTTGTGCAAATTAGGCATGTTCTTATTTCTTCTCAACTTTATACATGCCTCAAAAGAAGTTGAAGCAATTAAAAATAAATAAATTTGTGGGAGTCTGACGTATACATGGCAGTGGAGCAGCAACGAATTCCAGCAATTCGGAATTGCAGGCGATGTCCCTTGCTGACCAACCTCGTGCTCCGATTTCCCATACCCTGACCTTGAAGTTGCTACTCAAGATGTTCGCAGGTATATATTTTACTGGACATTTCCATCTAGGTTTTCCTTGGAAATTTTAAAATTGATTTGGGTGAAAATTTTTTGGCATTAAAGATTGGGAGAGACACAAATGATGTGAGAATTATTTGGGATAATTTGAGGTGCCTTTTTTTCGGAATGATGATTTGTAGTGCCTAAATGCTATTATGTGTGAGAATTATCCACCTTTTGGGGCAAACTGCTGAGTATATGAGTGATATGTAGTTTGTAGTTTGGGGTGTTCGAATTATGCTAGAATGTTAACTTATTTTGATTGATTTTGTGATTTTTCCAGGCCATTTTCTAAAATTTAGTTTTAAAGCTATGACACTCATTCTTATCCATCACTAATTTGCGTTGTTGCAGAGTATTAGATTGTCCACAACCATTAAGTTTCTCACTGCTGTGGTACTGATACTGCATTTGTTCTCTCATTTGAGTTAATTGTATTTTGTGAAATTATTATACATTGATTTTTAGTTAGAACTAATTTGTGTTTGCAGAACTGGAATCTAAAATCATTGATATTTTTTCTCTCATTTGAGTCAAAATAATACTGCTTTGATTATGTAGAAGAGAAAATGGAATTAAGGTCTAAGCAAAAGGATTTTGATGCAAAAAAATAGAGAATTCTTAAATAACATATTGGCCGGACATTAAGGTAGTGTTATAAGTTTTGATTGATTGATTTATAAGTTTAATGATTTCACAGTGATAAAAAAATTTCCTGAGTTGGTTTGATGCTGAAACTTGATATTAATGATCATATTATGAAGCAATATCAGCAAAAATGATGATCCAGTTGTTTTGGACAAAGTTGTCAAATCTGGAGGAAGCAAGCGACTTTGATAAGATGTTTGTCTAAATTCAACACATAATAAGCGTTATAGTATTGTGTGTTTACTTAGTGCAAAGTAATGTAGTACAAAGTATGAAGTAGGATTGATTGATTTGAGCAATTACTGGAAATTGGTTTATGTGTATATATGAGTAATTAGTTAATAATTACCTGAACTTAATGGTATATAGTTCTATTGCTACAAAACAAATGGAAGATTCATCTCCAACTTACAATACCTGTTACACGGCATGCATCAATTTGGGGAGTAGTTTGTGGAGTTGTTAAATCTGGTATACTTGCCTTTTATGGTCCTTTCATCTTTTTCTGATTTGTTATTTCCTCCTGTTTATCATAGCCATGTTCAGCACTAAAATTTCATGCTCTCTACTATTTTTTTTAGTCTAAATTGATTATTGAATCAAATTGCTAGGATTAATCTTTTGAAAACCTTTTTATTCCTGTTCACTTTTCTTTATTTTATTTCTATTAAAATTTGTCCTATTAATATGATGTTTGTATGGAAAATTTTATGTGATAGCCATGTATAACTGATTAGTATGATTGTTTATGAGTTGAAGTATATGGGTTTTTTTTTTTTTTTTTGTAGGTACAAATGGTCAAGCGGAGGATGATAAACCACTGGTGGTTTGCTTTGGGGAAATGCTGATAGATTTTGTGCCCACAGCTGCCAGGGTGTCACTAGCTGAAACTCCCGCATTTGCTAAAGCTGTTAATGGCGCCCTTGCTAATGTTGCTGTTGGAGTATCGCGATTAAGAGGTAAATGTTTGTAATTCGAGCTAAAATCTGAATTAAGATACTGATAATGTACAAGAAAGTCAGCTATTAGTGAAACTTTTAATCAAAAGCTATAGCTTGTGCAGCGTATCGCCTTGTATTTTAATCCTTTTTTTTCGAGGGGTTATATTTTAGTCCTTTACATAGCTTTGAAGCGTTAATTGCACGGATCAAAAGCTATAGCTTGTGCAGCGTATCACCTTATATTTTAGTCCTTTACACAGCTTTTGAAGCGTTAATTGCATAAGCATTCTGACAACTTCGCTGAGTTGTCATTTAGCATCAGATAATTTGTAGCTTATCTTCTAAAGCTTGCATACTTAATATCTAAAATGACATCTAAATTACAGGTTGACTTGCAGGATGACCTAGGAGCATTTCATGGCATTCTAGCATTGCTGAGTAGCAAACCAATTACTGGTAAAAGTTTACGAACGACATGGCATACAAGCATTGCTCCCAATGGGCACTGGAGGCTGTTAAGGTTGAAGCTTGAAGGCCACCAGACAAAGGATTCAAAGGGTATAGTCCCTGCTATTCATTTTGGCAATAGAGTGGTCTTGACTTTTTGACGACTAAGACTAGAGAAATAATGTCAACTGCCTATTCCATCTACACCGAATGCTCTGGAGAAAAAGCAAACCCAATAACCCCTGACCTTTATAGATGTCAAGAATATGAAAACATCCAAGGAACAAGCATTAGATAGTGCTATTCTAGATCAGATTTGTAAGATGTTTTCTATTTAATCTTCCTTGCCAAATTTTATAGAATATCATAATGAGTCATTGAAGAACTCATAACTGTACCTATTGAGCGTTTAAATAAAAATAAAAGTTTAGATCGAGGAGGAGGAGATATTGAGCGTTTAATAAAAATAAAAGTATTAGTGTAGGGTTTGTTCGTGGAATAAATAAGTGACAAGTAAATAAAGTTTTTGGGAAAAAGACTATCTAAGAGCTTTATAAAGCATCTTTGAGGTTTTTGTTAAAGTAAAATGATATATAAACATCTCTAATCACTAATGCTTCAATATCTTGGTAAAAATCTAACTTTAAACTTTCACTATTGTTTGTCTATAGTCTACCACCGTGACATGCAAACTAAGAAATATTTTGAGTAAAGATGATCTTAAATTCAATATTAGGGGTGAAATATCTTGTAAATGTTTTCGAATATTTTCAACTCTAATTTTGAGAAAAAGGGTACCAAAATGAGTTACACGGAGCCAAAAAAATTTAAATCATTCCGGAGGAATTGATTAGATTCACCATAAATCTTTTTTTAAAAAAAAATGTTTGTGCAACTATAGTAATAGATAGATTTAAAAAGAGATGGAGGATAAAAGGAAGGAAAGGGAGAGGGAAAGGGGGACTAAGAGGCAATAGATAAATTTAAAAAGAGATGGAGAATAAAGGCAGGAAAGGGAGAGGGAAAGGGGGACAGAGAGTGAGAGGAAGAGAACAGGGGAGGGAGAAGATGAGGTCGGGGGGAGAGAGGAGAGGAAGGGATAGAAAGGGTGAAAGAAAAAGAGGATTCAGGGGAAGAAGTCGGGAAAAAGAAGGGCTGAGATAGAAGGCAGATCGAAAAAGAGACAAAGCGGCCAAGAGAGAGAGAGTGCGAAAAGGAGTATAAAGGAGATGAGGTCTAGGAGAAAGTGAAAGAAAGAGGGGCCAAGAGAGAGGATTTAGGAGAAGAGAGAAAGAGATAAAAAGAGAAAGTGGGTCAAGAGACGAATAGAGAGGTCGAAAATGGAAGCGTTAGAGCGATAAGAGATAAAAGGGCCTAGAGATAGAGTGATAAAAAATGAGAGAGGCTTGAGAGAGAAAAAGAGAGAAGGAAGCCAAAAGAAAGAGAGCGATAAAGAAAAGTTGGTAAATATAGAGGCTGGGTGAAAGAGAGAATGAGGAGCTAAAGGGGAGAGAGAGCAAGTGAAACTTATAATTTCAGAGCCTTTTTAAAGATGAAACATGGACAAGAAGGATTAGAAAAGGAAGAAAGAGAGCAAGAGAAAGCAAATGCGGCCTATAATATTCGAATTCACTAAAAAAATAAAGTATAAAAAGAGGAATCAGAGAGAGAAAGAGAATAAGGTCACTTCATTCAAAAACAACTTCAACCCATCCCACCCTTCCTATATTCTTTTCTTTTCTTCCTCAGTAATAGCTAGCTCTTGTAGTCTCTTACTAATACTTCAAACATCATTCATCAGCTTTTAATAGCCAAGGTTGATTCAATCAAGATACCGATTCAACCAATGAAGATGAATGTTATAACTTAATCACATTCAAAACAAGAATGAGAGAAAGATTTGCGGTATACAATTTACTAAGGCTTTAGTGCTCAACAATACTCTAAAATAAAATAATGTATAGAAATGTCTGTCAATAAAACAAGAGTTAAATAGCATGTAAACTTTATGTATTATGTGAAGAATATTTTCATTCACTTTAACTCTTTTATTATTATTATTTTTTTTTTAACTTTTAAACAACATATTAAAAATTAGTCTACACATCTATTTGTCAAATAAGTGTCTTATCATATACTACATTTTCAAAAAGAGATGCATGCACTTCACTTTTAAAAATACATTGTTTTTAAAATTATTAGTACATAAAATAGTATGAATAATATTTAAATATAATAACACAATAAATGTCATTTCACTAACTGCGTCAAACAATAGGCTGCTATTATCGTTTATATACAATCCTGAACACTGTAAACATTTGAACATATCCAATTAACATAAACCCAATTTACATGCATTTTTGTAATCTTCGAGATAACGACACACCATTAACATTAACTAAATTACATAATCATAATTTAATGCACGATTGTGAGTAAATGAGATACTAAAAATAGTTGCTTCATGTTTATATGATTTATCGGATAATTAATTTGCATGTTTTAAAGAATCTATGGAACAAAAATTCTCCAAATCATTTTGGGACAAAGGCTTTTTTGTTGTAGAACAAAAACTGCACAATTTTTTTATGCTAAATCTGCATTTTGTTGTTAGTGTCAAAGCTAATCAAAGAGTTAAGTTCTCATTTGTGGACCTATAAGCTTCAAAACCATTCTAATAAAGATCTAGCAATATAGTAGATTCTAAATGAGGTGCTTGTGAATCCTCTTTTGCTACCATATTTGATCAGATGAAGGTGTGTGAATCAACTCTATGGTGGAAGGTGGACCATCGAACTTTCTATTACTTTTACAACGCAATAAGAATGTGGCATTTTGTTTTTTGTCCCATTTTCTATTGCCTACCAGAAAATTCATGTTCTAATTGGAAAATTTGTAAAATTCAAACCACAAATGACTAAGAATGTTATGTAGTGCAAAGTGAAGGCATGGAAGATTGAGGAGGCGAGAAAGTAGAAGTGAGGAGGGGATAGAATAAATGAGAAAAGGTTAGGATGAGAGTGAGGGGGGGTGCAGAATGCAGAAGGATGTAGGGCCAAGAGGAGATATGTAGACAGAAAAAATACTTTAAGAGTGTGGGGAATGTTGCATATGAATGTATATCAATAAAAAAAATTCTTAAGAAGGTCATAGGAAGGATAGATGAGATAAGGGAGTGGAAGAAAGGAAGGAAGAAGGAACAAGAAAGGGGGATAAAGAGAAGGGTAAGAAGGAGAAATGAGATAAGGAAAAGGAAGGAATATGAAAGAGAGGATACACGACAATTTTTAATCATTCTTCCTTTAACCATGTTTGTCCCCGAAGCCGAGCTACCTATATGGGTTATCTATTACAAACCTGTTTTCATGTCCTTACTTAACATACTTTTTGCACCGGACTATATTATGGTTGATCCATCTTTTGAAATAAATGTGTAGTGTATACGTAAATCTAATATTATATAAATAAAGTAGGCATTTTTGGAGAGCATTTGGAGCGCCACGTAAGAAATATACTTATTACGACCAATAAGAAGAAAGATTTGTAATTATTTTTTGAATTAAAAAATTATGTTGCACCAAGATAAAAGTAACGAATTAGATTTGATATATCTAAAATTTTAATGCCACGTAGATTATAATCCACGAATTAAATAATTTTAATGAAAAAAAATAAAGTAAAAATATAGGAAAAGATAAATTTATTAATTCAATACTACGAGTATAAGAAATCCAAATAAAATATACTAAACACAAATAAAATTTCGTATAATTTTTAATGTCATGTAGATTATAATCCTCAAATTAAATTATTTTAATGAAAAAAATAAAGTAAAAATATAGGAAAAGATAAATTTATTAATTTAATACTACGAGTATAAGAAATCCAAAAAAAATATACTAAACACAAATAAAATTTCGTATCAATACAAAACCCCATCTAGCGAATTTTGTGTTAGTAATTTTGTGTTAGTTTTAGGTCATTAATGTCCGGGTAACTTTTAAAATCTTATGTTTAAATTTATATTTGTAATTATTAGTTACATTATATTTATTTAGGATACTTAACGATTATTTGTTTATGTAATGGCATACAATTAGATGTTGTATACTTAATATATGGATGACTTTGGTTATTTTTGGAGATGATTGAAAAATTCCAATGCATAGATTTGATTTTATAATAACAATTTTTCATTTATTACTAAATATATTGATTTATTTTATATAAATGTAAATATTTACTTTATTTCAATTTGAGTTTGGCTAACATTTCACGGTTCAATTTATTCATTGATGTAGTAGGTTGGTTGTGGACGAGGTTGGTGATTCTATCGAAATAAAAGATATGGTAAAACAATGAATAATGATTTAGGATTTAAATTATT